TAAATATACTTTTTTATAGTTAGCAGAATTATGTTTCAAATGATTACAAATTAATTTTTACTATTGCTAATTTGCAATCTTTTTGATCTTAGTATATTTTTAATAAGTTGTACATCTAATTTGCTCTTTAAATATACTTTTTTATAGTTAGCAGAACTATATTTCAAATGATTACAAATTAATTTCTTCTAGCTATTAACTATTATAGTATTTTTGCTACTTCTAATTAGAGTATTTTAATCTTATTTAGTAACATTTATATTACTTGTTTTTATTATAAACTTCTATATAAATATAACCAAAGCTTTAGCTTGGAACTTTTAGATATACAGAACAAACTATATATTTTATACTTATAACTATCTTCTATATTTGGATGTTCTATTGTGCAAAAGATACTTTTAATTTTGAAATAGCCAATTTTTTGTTACAAATCTTTTTTTATTTATTACTTCTTTTATTATTTTAGTTTATATTATCTTAGTATTATTCTCTTAATTAAGTACTCTATAAGTTAAATATAAAGATATTGTTGCTATTTTATTTTTATTTTTTTTTTAGTGTTAAAATGACCTTTTTGGTTTTTTAACTTTTATTAATGAATTTTTTGGTAATATAATTTTATAAACTACTACAGAAGAGCATACAATTGACTATATATATAACTTTTTTATATTATCTATTTAAGAAGTTTGCCTAAAGATTTCTTACTAATTGCTGTACCTAATATTTCTGCTTAAATGTTTTATTTTAAATTCTTTGAATCTGCAACTTGTATTAATATTACTAGATTATATTAAATACCTAAATCATTATTATAACTTTAGAACTATTTTATTTTTAAGATAAACCTTCTAAAATCTTCTATACTTATTTTTATAGTTAACCTAATATTACTATAACAGAATCAACACTTATAATCAGAACTTAATTATTAAATTACTATGCTTTTATAAGTTTATACAAATCTTAATATCTACTTTATAGCATATTCAAAATATTTTAGTATACTCTGCCTTTTTATTAGACTTTCAATTCAGATAGTCTATGCAGAACTATAATCAGTTTATCAGTATATTAGATTAGCTTAATATTCTTTTTCTCCAATTTATTCTAGCAGTCTAATTGATAATATCTTTAAGACTTTTAATCTAGAGCTTCTTGTCTGTTTAAGTATTATAACCTTGGTATTTATTTCATAAAACTAGCCTTTATAATAGAGTCTCAAAGATCCAACTACCTCTTTATTTAGATTTTTCTAAATAAATTTCTTGTTATCTAATTTTAACAAATTTATATGATCACAAAAACTTATCTAGTATTTGTACTGTCTAATTGTTGGTTTGCATTCTTCTATATAATATTATATTTACATAGATGCTCTATAATCTTCTAGTTATACTAGTATAACTACTATTACAGGTATTCTAATCTAATTATTAATATAGTTGCTATAATATAAATATTATATAGATAATTATTTAAATTTTTGTTAGTAATAGAATTTGAACACCCAATTTACCACTTGAAGACTTGACAACCTGATTATCTTACTAAGTTATTACATCTTTGCTATCTTATTTTATAAAGACTTATTTATATAATACTTTGTATAAAAGAATCTTTTAAGTGATGTAACAACCTAATGAAGTGATCAGGTTGTTAATTTTCCAAGTGATAGTTGGATGTTCAAATCTTATTGATAGTAAAAATTTGAATAATCACCTATATAAAATTTGTATTATGGCAATTATTACTAATGATTAGGTTAGGATACCTGTAATAACAGTCACACTAGCATGACTGACAGATCATGAGACATTTGTATAATTTGTTATACAGAAAAATACAAACTAACAAATCAGGTGATGCAAACATTAGATAAGTTTTTGTGACTATGTAAATCTGTTAATATTAGATAATAAGAAATCTATTTGGGAATACCCAAGTAGAAAGTTAGTCAGATCTTTGACAACCCTACTATAAAGGCTAGCTCAGAGAAACAAATACCAAGATCATAGTACTCAGTCATAATAGCCAGATAAGCAAGAACCTTTAAGTTAGGAGTTTTGAAGGTACTACCAACCAAGCTGCTGAAATGAACTAGAGAAAAAGAATATTGGACCAATCTGATATACTGATGAACTGATTGTAGTCCTACACAGACTATCTAGATTGAAAGTTTGGTAAAAAAGCTAAACAAAAAATAGGAATATACTAAAGTATCAAGGTTATGCTGTAAAGTAGATACTGGGTCTGTGTAAACTCTACAAGTATATAGCAGTTTAATGATTAAGTCCTAACTGCAAGTGTTAGTTCTACTATAGCAATATCTAGGTCAGCTGTAAAAATGAGTACAGAAGGCTCTAAAAGGTTTACCTTGAAGATAAATTAGTCCTAAGATTAAGACAATGATCTGGCATCTGGATATGACCTAGTGAGTTAACACAGATTACAGGTTCAAAGAATTTAAAGTAGAACACCCATTTAACAATCTTACTAATTAACTAGTTTGTAATTACCAAATTTTATTTTTTCTTATATTCTTAACAAATAATCTTTACAAACTTTTCTATATTTTATTTATCAACTAATTCTTTATTAAAATTTCTATTTATTGCTCTATTTAAACTATTTGTCAAGCTTATATAATAATACTTTAAACATCTTAATACTGTTTTTAACAATAATCTACTATTGCACTGATATTAACTAAAATGTTACATAGCTTTATATTAACAATACATTCTATTTCGATTCCCTTATTTAACTATTTGTAGTCACAAATTCTATTTTTTAAGTACACACTTATTTCCGAACCATGTTCATTTATGATGTTACAATTAAATATAAAATCAGTATCCCCATATTGTCATGAAGTATTGAATGTTAATTTTTCGTCTTATTTTCCATATACCCATGATCAATAGCATTGGGAATCGATGACTGTCCATCAATGAAGTTACCTGGGAAGCTAAATTAACATATTGGGACTTTTTCAATCACAGAAGCACGTCTCCATAACTTACTTACGGCAGTGCTTATTTACTTGGAATTGTTAAATCCAATCCTTTCTGCTTCCTTATAGACATTCATTCTTAATAATGTACGTGCAGACACATATCGGGAATTTCTTGGTAATATATTTAATATAAGTGATGGATCCTTAAAGCTTGGAGGAAATATATTTTGAACACAAAGAGTTAGAAAGCAAGGCAAATAAAGCGATGATGTAATATCGAGTGAATTTAAAGGTACATTTATATAATATTTATGACTTGAGGAAATTTCACTATTTTTGAATTGATGTTGCGATAATCACCAATTATTTTGGATGAAATATCACTATACGCCGTTGATTGCACTGTCATTTGATTGTCGAAATCGCAATTTGTTTTTGTTAGTAAGCTATCAAGATTATTCAAAATAACTTCTAATTTAGGGCGTTTTTCTGGCTTTGAGGACCAACAATTTGTGTAAAGATCTGCATATTCTTGAGGTGTGCCAGGAATCATCTTCTCTCGTTCACCAAGAAAGATTCTTATAGAATTCGTTGAATCTGAGAACGGGTGTGTCCCACTTGTAAGTTCACACATCAATACACCTAGACTATAAATATCAGATCGTTTATCACGCTTAACTTTTTTTTCCATATTGTAAAAAGCATTGTGGTTCGATATATGCGGCTATTTCGTTTATTTCGTTTATTGTATTCGATATTCCAAAGTCAGTAATTAAAGGTTTACCATTATTCATTAGAATATTTTTAGAATGCTAATGAGGTGTTAAGTCGAATAGCTTAAAATTTTAGTAAAAAACAAATCAAAACTTAAATAAATTTAAAAATTCATACTAGATTTTTATGAGTAATTCCTTTCTCATGTAAGTGATTTAATCCAAGACTTATTTCTTTTTGTGATTTGAATGGTTTCATTCCATGAATTTTTAAAAACGCCATCTTGTCGTTTGCTTTGTAAATAATCACGTAGACTTCCGTTATTTGCAAATTGTAATACCATTATAAAATTTCCCATTATTGGATCTATGGTTTATTAAATTATATTTTGTTAAATGTATTAAACTAAATTTATGATTTAGATTTTCAAAATCGAAGACTTTACGTTCAGAAGTTCCATAGAATTTAATTACATTAGGATGTTCAATTGCATAAAGAGCTTTAAGCTGTAATATAATTATTAGAATTTAGATGCATGTTTCAGGATTCATTGGTTTCAGACATAAGAGCTTAATGCTAAATAAGAATAAAACACATTACTTTTCGACCAATTTTTTTAAGCTTGTTGTTATCCAAGAACAGATTACTGTTTAGAATTTTTAATGCGTATGTTCTTCCTTTAAAGTCAGCTGAATATACATTTGAAAATTCCCCGTTCCCAATCTGTTTCTGGACGCTGAATAGCGAATAATTAAACTCACTTATATTAGATGTTCTAAAATCCAGTTTTTAGGTCTTCCCATACTAATTGAATAAAATTTATTACGTATCATAATAAATTTACTTGTTATTGCTTAACTTATTATCTGTAAAATAACTCAATTTTCCATGATTCATAAAACATAGCTATTGTGCATTCATTTTAACTAATTTTTAAGTCTTTTATTTCGTTACTTAATTTCTTAGTAAAAGTGTCGAACGGTTTGTTCAGAAAGGTTTTACTCTTTGATTTTAATTTACCTATTCTATTCGAATTAATATAAATGAACTCAACATTGTGCTCACAATATTTACAAGTAGCTGTTCCAGAGCATTTAATATGTTTTATACGACAATTAGTGCACGCAGTAGCCGCGTAAAGGCTTCTTTTTCCTCTTGTTTTTTAAGTATGTCATTTTTTATTGTACGCATTGAATTAATCAAATACATCAAGTTTAAATAAGGTTTGACTACAATACTTTGAGATATTACTTGTTTACGTACTACGTACAAGCTTTTATATGTGAGTACGGAGTTTCTACTCAAGCACAAAGCAACAACCGGTATGCAAAATCCGGATAGGAATCATAATGATAATGCTGATGGAAGTTTAGGAATTCTTTATGTTAATTCAAGTTTCATTAATGGCGGCAGTGGTCAAGGAAATAATATGGACGAAGAAAGTACTAACTGTGACTCTGATACAAATTTTGAATCTTTTCTGATTACTAGTACCCAATCTTTACCAATAATTAAGAACTATAATCCTTTAATGAAATATTTGGTTAGTTCCAAGTATAATAAACATTCTTCATATTCATATATCGGTTGTAGAAAACCTTCTATCAAAACTGCAAGAAACAATGGCTACAATTTAAGAATGACCAACAAAGTAGCAGCATTATATAAAAATCATAATAAAACTCTTGATCTCGAAATGGAATTACATTTGAATCTCTTATCAAAGAAATCCGAAGGAATAAAGATGACAAAGATGAATATAATACATTTAACGATAAGATAGAAGAGTTATTGGAAGTATATGATATAAAGAAGTTTAAATTTTCGGAAATTAAAAATTATCAACTCATTGGTAGAGGTGGATCCACGAATGTGTATTCTATTGATTTACAAGGGTGTCAAAAATTTTAAATCTTCCTTAAAGAGGTGATGTTTCGTTTACATTACGATATAAACAAAATTAATAAATTTAATATTTTCCACTATTATTAAATTCTATGGGGTGTCAAAAGGTTCGAAAATATTTAAAGTAGACATATTTAAATTATACCTTATTTAAAATTATTTTTTATAGATACATTATCTGGGAATTTTAATATTATATTACAATTTGCCAATAATGGAAATTTACGGGATTATTTGCAAAGAAAACTTTCTGAAGATGGTTTTAAAATCTTATGGATTAAAATGTTTACATGAAAACGGAGTTATTCATCTAGACTTGGTAAGAAAATTACAAATTAAACCGATTTATTTATATCAAATTCTAAGCTGCGATATTTGCATTAAAATCTACTAGCATTCTAAAAATATTTTAATAAACTACGGTAAACCTTTGATCTCTAATTTCTGTTATAGACTGCCCGTGATTTCCAGTGATTATTAACCAATAAAATTATATAATTTTTTAAAAAAATTTATCGTTTAATATTACTACAGAAAAAGGCAAAGAAGTTACAGACTAATAAATACACGCAAAAAAATTTATCACATACATTTAAAGAATAGATAGGTATAGTGAGACGAACGTGAGATTTATTATTAATAAACCCAAAATAATTGAAGAAATACAATACATGATATAAACCAAAAATTTTACACCAAACTTAAACATTAAACACGGATATTTTACTACTGATAACTTGTACGTAATAAAGTTCTTAAGCGATAAAAATTTCTAGTTACCTTCACTTTATAATTTTACAAGATCCAATAGATTATAATATATTTTATTATATTTTACCTTCTGAGGAAGGCCGTCAGAAGTGGATCTTTTTTGCATAGCGAATATTAACAAGTGCTCGTGGAGATTTTATTAGTGCTGTAACGAAACATTAGTTACTCGGGCAATTGATTTGCATCAGCCAATTAAACAAACTTCTACCTATGCAACACTTTTTGATTGTTTTGATGAGATCTGATTGGTGTAGATCATACGAATATGATGTAATTAGGTTATAACATAAATGCATGAATCAAAACAATATATCGTAAAGATTCTTTTTTTTTTTACGTTTTTTACACTTTTCACTTTAGCAGAACTTTTTATTTTAGCATATCCTTATAGATAGTTTTTACATAATTCTAAAAACAATTGCGCGGATACATACAAGGTAATATGCCATAGATGTCTAGGTTGTTTTTGTTAATAAATATACACAACAAACTGATTATGTCAGAATATTAGATCCTCAAATGTTAAAGTTTCTTTCGTGGTTTATCAGAAGCTTTCCGACAAGCCCCTTCGTAAGCGAAGGTTCCATTGTAAGCGAAGGTTCCCTTGTAAGCGAAGGTTCCTTTGTAAGCGAAGGTTCCTCTGTAAGTGAAAGTTCCCTGTAAGCGAAGGTTCCCCTGTAAGTGAAGGTCCCCCTAACGAAGGCTGTGTCTATGAAGAAGTTAGAGGTTAGGACAAAAAAGGTTGGAATTCAATGGGGAAAAAAGAAGAAGAGTCGTGGTCTTGTACGTGCTCTTCTCGCTGACATCTTGTTTTGTTTTTCAATTATGATACAATTTATTCATTTTTTACTTTTTTTTTTTTATACCGGTATAAATATAGGTTATATCACGCAAATCAAATCGATTACAAATGAAATTATAGATGAACAAAATCCTTACGATACCTGGGAAAAAATAAATAAACGACTCAAGACCGATTAGATCGACGAATTTTTAAAACTTGGAATTATTATTATTTTTTATAAGCTTCTTTGTTGAGATTAATTTTTTAATAAGCAATAGTTGTTTTTAAATTATTTACAATGCATGTAATTTAATAAATTTATAAAATAAAATTTGCTAATTCGAAATCACTTAATAAAGAATGTAAAGTGTAAAAAACTAAATGTTAACATTTTACTATTGTTATGAACGTTGAAAACAAATGAAAGTCACAATCAATAAATCGAAATCGTTTCAGTTTACTGATTGTTAATTATATTAATCGTTTTTGTATAATAGTTTTAGATTATTAAATCAAATTTTGTATCAATCTGACAATGAAACATCTTAAATAGCTGGAAGGATGAAATAAATTATTTTTTATTAAAGAAAAGTCTTAATAATAAAAATCTAGTTTTTTTTTCGAATCACAAAGCTTTGAAGACTACTACCTAAATTAATATACTGTAATTCCGATTCATTTATTCGATATCGATATTACTAAATGTCAAATTAAAAATTTTGTCCTTTACAGATTACATGTGCTTTTAACTAACAACGTGATGTACGTTATTGATTAGATTTCTTGGCACGTAGATAACAAAAGATCCGATTTTTCTTTTAAAGGCATTCATATTTGCCTTTATAAATTGTAATTTATTTCTTGTAAGTCGAATAAAACTCAAAATAAATTGACCAGATCAAATAATTTGAGTACTTAACAGAATTTTAATTCATGGATAACAAGTTCAAATCTCGAACTTAAAGATAATTTAAAAGGAAAAATCTTAGAAACAAGACAAAGAGTTTCAACACAGCAGAACTAAATCCTTGGTTGAGTTGGTCCAGAGCTTGGTCGTAAGCCCAGCAAAAATGCTCAAAGCTCAATACATTTTTACGTTTGACTAAAGCCCATGAGAACTTTGCCGAGAAAGGGTAAACCTGTTATAACCTTACTAGTTTGTTATATCCTTTTAAAAGAATCATAAAGTTCACGGTCTCAAATCTTCATTGATTCGGCAACCCGATGGTCTAGAGAATCTCGATTTGAACACTGTTGTAATGGAGAGCATTGGTAAAGATAGAAGTAATCAACATAGGGGGTAGTTTTTCAAGAGTGTTTTTCACGTCACTAGACAATTAATGGTCCTGCAAGTAGGTAATGTAACTCTTGTCTTTAATTTAATTGGTAAAAATTTATCTAATGCTAAATTATATGACTTAGATAAGGACATACCGGTTGGATAATAAAAAACAACTGTTCATATGTATTTGTTTATACAGTTAGACCTCTCTATTACTATTTGTACACTAGTGTATAAACATGGGTACGTATGATAACACAAAATTTTAATAAAACCATTCTTCGGGCTCTAACAAAAACATTTCTAGCAAAATTTTAGCATGAACTATAACCCCCTTAAATCGGGTTTAATCGTTATATTACACAGATTTGCGAATCAATTAAACACGTGTAGTGTGTAAATAGTTTATGCTTTGAAATTTTATAATTTTAATGCAAATATTATCTTTTTAGTTAGGGCATGACCAAAGAGAATCTTAAAAAAGTAAGGTTGAAACTGATTTGGAAACATACAATGAAATATTATAAAAAGGCAAGAGTTTCGCAATGTTGATTGTCAGGTTTGCTACTTAACAAGGTTAACAGAGAATATTGTGAGTCCGAAGCCTAACTTATTATAATAATTAAATGTTAACGTTTAAGCTGAACTGATTTAATGATCGGCCAATATGTATCATGTGACGACAGACGGATTTATACATGTTCATGTAAGTCCTCGCTACGCTTCGGACAATAAATAAGACTATTAATGCAGCATACACGATCTTTAATAACGTTAATGAAATCTCATTCTTGCACAATTATTTTTATACGAATGAGACTTTGTTGGCAAACTTAATCAACCCAATAGATATACGCAACATGCTAATCATTTATATACGTAATTTAAGGTTCATCTAATTCATCTACAACAGAACCGATTGCATATTTCGATAGTAAACGTGGGCCTCATAACAGTTGTTATACGCCAAATAGACTCACACAAACTCACGTTATAACAAATAACAGCGTATCTGGCTTTGAATTTAATGTGCTTGCCTCTTCGGGCCCAGGTTAACTCATTAAATTCAAAGCAAGATACTTTTTTTTATTTGTCATCCAAAATGATCATCCCGTGATCCTTCGGATCACGGTATTCTCATATCTCCTGCCAAATAAAACTGTTATTGGATGTGTAGCATCCAATAACTATTTATTATCTTGATTAAAATCCATTCCTTTATAGTAATTAACGTTAATGTTAAATGACACCTCTGTAGTAATTAATCCCTTTATAATAATTAATGTTAAGCGATACCATTTAGGGTTTATTTCGAGTAAAAACGAAGATTAAACGATCAACATATTAAAATGACGTTAAAAAGAAGTATTACCCCTTTATATACTTTCACATGATACTATATTTAGTAGACGAAAGAATAAGCATGCAGATCATATCACGTGTTTTTTTACAAAAGTTTCCGAAAACAGATTATTAAATTTCTTGTATCGATCATCGATCATCGATCTTTACCGTTACCATTCATAAAAAAAAAATCGGATATGGGAATTTGTCAATCGTTACTCCCGGATAAATTTCCCCGCTTTTAAAAGTCGATGTCCATTATGTTTAAATTACTGCCACCACTTTTTCAACGATTATATTCAACAGCTTCAAATTTAAAGGTAATTTCATTAATAATTTCAAAAAAAAAAAGTCATCGTATTAATCTAACGAGAAATTGTAAAAAAAAAAAGATTATGGAAGGATTCATCGGTGCAATTGGTAATACACCATTGGTAAGTGAAATTTTTTTGAATGACCGTATAGATTAAAAATCTTAAAGAATCATCATGATCGCATTGTTTTAGATACGATTAAGAAAATTGAGCCAAGAAACCGGCTCGGAAATTTATGGTAAAGCAGAATTCATGAATCCTGGCGGTTCTGTGAAAGATAGGGCTGCGTTATTTGTGGTCAAAGAGGCTGAAGAAAAAGGTAAATTAAGAAATTAAATATGTTCATATGTTTAGTCACAAAAACTGATATTATATACTCATTATACATACGTATGTAGGTCTTATCAAACCTGGTGGTACTGTTATAGAAGGCACTGCAGGTAAACAATAATACGTAAAATGAATTGCATTGTTTCTTGCAATACAACCATATTAATATGATTAAAAACTTATGAAAGGAAACACTGGTATTGGTCTTGCTCACGTATGCAGAGCAAAAGGGTATAAATGCGTTATTTATATGCCAAATACGCAAAGTCAAGAAAAAATTGATCTGTTGAGGATGCTTGGTAATAAAGGAATTAAAGCAATATCTAATGGAATTCAATTTTTGAATATAGATGTTTCTTTCTGATCAACAATTCATGTACCTTATTATATGGGTAATAGGTGCCGAAGTTCATCCGGTACCAGCTGTTCCTTTTGATAATCCCGATAATTATAACCATCAAGCTCGTCGTCACGCTGAAAAACTTGAGAATGCAGTATGGACTAACCAGTTTGATAATACTGCAAATCGACGTGCACATATTGAGACCACTGGTCCAGAAATTTGGGACCAAACTAACGGTCTGATTGATGGTTTCACATGTGCCACTGGCACCGGTGGAACTTTCGCTGGCGTGGCTCGCTTTCTAAAAGATAAAAATCCCAACATCAAAGTATTCATTGCTGATCCACCGGGTTCCGTTTTATACACATATTTTAAGAGCGGTGGTAAATTGATGGAACGCACCGGAAGTTCAATTACTGAAGGTATTGGACAAGGTCGTGTTACTGATAACCTTTCTGGTGATGTGCATTTGGTAGACGATGCGTTGTATATCCCAGATGAAAAATCTATTGAAATGGTATATAGACTATTGGATGAAGAGGGTCTCTATCTCGGTGCATCAACAGCATTAAATGTTGTTGCAGCTGTAGAGATGGCAAAGAAATTGGGTCCAGGTTATTTTAATTGATTTATTTTATTTTATTTATTTTTTATTATGATCTATTAAACCATAACTTTATGTTAATATATTTAATATATTTTGATTAATCATTTAGGTAAAAAAATTGTCACCATCCTATGTGATGGTGCTTATAGATATCAATCACGATTATTCAGTAAGTTTGAAGGAATTACATTCATAAGTTATAATTAATGACATTTGTTCACCTACTCATCATGACTATCATTGCAGGTCGAAAATGGTTAGAAAGTAAAAATCTTTTGGATTCCATCCCAAATAATTTGCAAAAGTATATAGTTTTACCATAAACACGTATATATAGAAACATAATCATAACTTTTGACCAAAAATGTATTTCTATTATTTGATAAATATAATAAATGATAATGTTATTATGTATCATGTATAAATTCACTTTTATATACGTACATTTCCCTCCAGATTGTTTGTTTCTTTCCATAAATAAAGATGTCCATCTTCGGATTCTATCAATCGCTCCATCCAAGGTAAAAGCTGGACGAACATCCAAGTAAAAACTCACGGAATGTGGTGAACTTGAGTCAGGTTGTCCAGAATAAAAATCAATAACATATGTAACTTGTTTACCACATCGGTCTACTACCCAATCATGCCTATCAAAAGGCAACTTATAACTTGTTTCATAAAACAAGATTAATCGAAAACGTATAAATGTCAAACAATGAATATCCTAATAAATAAATCTAATATTTAACAAATTGACATACCCTAATAAATTGAACAACCTGGCTTTTGGAGTAATATTTTTTGCTTTACCTTGAAATTTTACCAATTTTGGTCCACCACATTGACTTTATCAATATGTGATAATTAATCGTTGTGCTCCAGATAGACAATTCTATATTATTAGAAGATCTGTATCACGGATTCATAACTTACTTTTCATGTAATTTTTCCCATTCTAATATTTCTTTCCAGGCTTTCTCATTCACTGCATTATGTATTGGTACAATAACTCGCATATCTTCTTCTTGAGGATTCCAATCTTTACGTTTCATTGCATTGAAAAACATTTGTTCTGAAGGATATATCCAATTCTCTATTATATCTTTAGATTTATTTTTATCATTATCAGGGAATGCACGTGGAATACCAGATATCTGACGCGTTGTATCAAGTGGAATATGTTGATTCAATGAAGATTTTTGATCGGAATGAAGTGATTTGTTATAATTATTTAAGGAGTCGCTCGAACAGCCTTCATTTTTACCAATGTTTGAAAATTCAGAAGATATTTTAGGGTTATCTGAAGGACATTGAAGTGCTACAGAATTCTTAGGTTCTATTGAAGTTTTGGGTGCAAAGTTAGAAGGCCATAAAGAGTGGTTTACTGGACAAGACGCAGTAACTCCTGCTGAATTTGTTGAATTTGAAGCTGAATTCTCCGACATTAGTGTCAGATCAAAAAAAAAAAACCATAGTATATATGATCACATGTTTTTCATTGGCTGATATCAATAAGTAGAATCTAGATCATGTAGAAGCTCGAAAATACATGAACATCTGTGTAACATTGAATGTTTCCCTGTTCATTTTTATTGCCTAAAAAAATTCAGAAAATTTTTTTACTGGAAAATTTAAAGTTTGAACTTCCAAACAAACAGCATCGTCAATGTCAGCTTCAGCTTCACCTCAAAAAAATACGGATACTTTCGACTTTGCCGGCTGCTGGTAAATTGATTTTCTGCTAATGAAATTCGAGTCAACGTCAATGAATCCCTTAAGAAGGTTTGTTTCTTAAACATATAAAAAGAATTTTATTAATCCAATTGCTTAATTGTTTATTATGTTAAATAGGTCAAACAAAACAACCCTACTGGATCAGGAAGTTCCTCGAGTACAACTAAATCAGAATCAATTTCTCCAAAGATACTAACTTCGTCTCCAATTCAGCAAAGCAAAACTGGCGTTCCTACAGTCTGTATTAGTGCACCTATAACACACAACATCAAAGTTCAACATCCATCACAATGACATCATCCACTGCCAACATTGATAAAGAAAAATCATCAATACCGACCGCACAGACTTCAACTTCTGCAAAAGGAAAGGCGCTCAAACGCAATCCACTTCTTCAACTCAACAATCACAACAGAATCAATGATTTATAAATCAAGAGTCTACACAGGATTTATTGGATAGATTAACAAAGAAAGAAGAAATTCAAAGCTTACTGGTAATTTATTATGATTTAATTATCTTTTTAAAGGCATAAATTAATAATTTTTTATACAGGGTGAACTTCAAAACCTTTCGCAAACATTGACACTGGATTTTACATTTGATCTATCATTTCGAAAAAAATTCCTTGACCCAGCAATTAATCTTTTATTTCGTACTATGAAAAAAGAATTGGAGGATAAAAATAAAAACAATTGAATCATTATAACATGAATTAGAAGTCGTTAAGTTCACACCAAATAGATCGGTGATCTATTTCTTACTGTATGATAATTGTTATGTCCAGTACTTTATAAATGTTTGTCTTTTATAATATTACTGGTAAAAAAACTTGTCACAAAATTACGAGCATTGCATGAAAATGAGGCATTGGCAATATGAGATTGAAATAGCTTTACAGAGAAAGATGATTTACGAATTAAAACAGGGTCTTGAAGGTAAGATCAATAATTTTTTATTTCATTACAAAATATGTATACTTTGTAATTAATTTAATATGTATAGAATCCGATAATCAACTTATATCTATGGAATATGAAGACTAAGAGCAAAAGTTAAACTTTATGAAGATAAGTTTGGTCCTTTAGACATTCCTCCAGCAGACATCTCTAAGTCAGATGTTGTTAACGAGAATACCGAATCTACAAAAGTAGAACAAAAGGTCGATATATAGTATATAGTTAATACTTGTAACTAAAATTTGCTTTACAATAAATTTTGTATCTAGCCATGAATTCTATAAATATAGAAACTAGCAGAATTAACGTTAAGATTAGTACGTTAGAAAGACTAAATATAAACTGGCCTAAGTTTGGGTTAAGAGTAGTGAAAGAATGCGTATAAAAAAATAAGAGGTGCTCCTAACAATCGGGTCGGATCGAATTTAGGGTCATTTCAAAACAAACCCGGGTTTGACCTGGGTTGTGCAAATTTGTGGATTTCAAGCAAATGACATTTGTTTTATTATTTATTAGAATATTATCATTATGCAAATTTTACGTACATGATTATTAATAAATAAAAAAAACAAATACAGGATTTAAAGCAAATAAAAATTAATCACATTTTAGTAATAGATAATTAGCTTTTCAACGTAAAGATAAAAATTTATGTTTTATGTAACCAAGGCCTTGAACACATATATGCAAGAACTGTGCTTGTACTGAGACTACATCTCTTTGTGGCGATTAAATCAGCTCCCTCTGAAAATATTCGTTCCACTGGAACACTAGTAACTGAAATCGCATGATAGTCTCTAATCATCATGGCTAGATGTGGATATTCATTCTCATTTTTTTTCACCAAATAAGAATATTATGTTTTTGTGTTGCTTGTTAAGACTTTAAATATAGTTCTGCCTCATCTTGCTGGTTAATTTTTTGCTTTTTTCTGAAAATATAATCTAAAAAATCATTATTATTGAAAGTATCAACTTCTTGACTGTTATGAACAATTGGTACATAATTATTTTTATAATAGTATGGACAGTTTCTTTAATATTGTTAACAAATCTAATATTCATATTATTGTTTTTGTAGTTATTTAATTTTAAACATGGATCAAGCACCATAGCAACAGAATATATAGATTGTAATTAGTCTTTTTCTAATGTTTTTGATTTTTTTTAACTTGAATCTATTGCAACAATTACTTTATTTGAAATGTTGAAATTATTATAATGCATTTCAAGTTTATTAATTAGATAATTATATTTTGAAATTGTAGATAGAAGTAATAAATATTTTGTTAAAGAAACTATATAGTTTGGTTATTTTACATAAATATGTTTAAAACTGTTATGATTTCTTTAATTTGATTTTATTCAATGTCTTTAAGTTCTAATATTTTAAGTTTTTTTTTTTTTTTTTTTTTTTTTTTTCTTTTTGGTATTAAGGTGAGGCCTTGCTTATATCTTTATTAATAATTTAA